TTGACGTGTGTATTCTCTAAAACGTCAATTGTTTTAGATTAACCGACGTACAAAATAGAGCTGTCACAATAGTTAATGGAACTGAGTTGCCTTTATTTCTCTCTTTAGACGATGGTAATTATTAATCAATGGAAGTAGTGTTTTCCAAATTTGTGAGTTGGAGAACTGTCCCGTCGTGTTATTCTTAAATATACAACTTGCATTATTTTCATGACCGTCGTCGTGTTATTCTTAAATATACTACCCGCCACAAAGTCACCTGCGGAATCGCGAACCATGACCCCTATTCCGCCCACTGTATTATCAAAAGATTTTGGCCAATAGCTTTTCCACCATAGATAGAAGTGAAAAAGTTTGCTGCTTAGTTTGGTTGTACTAGGGACATCAATACTCAAATGAATCCAATATAAATAAAAAAGCAATCCGTTCCAAAAGATTGAAACTCAATACACTCTCTCTAATATTTTACATGACACTTAATTACAAATTAGCTATTAGTCTAGTAGTATTTTTCTTCATGCGTGACACAAAACTTATTTATTTATTTATTTTTAATCTGCGGGAAGAGATAATTCACACCTTTTTCACATATTAGATTTCAACTTTGTTGAAGACTTGATATCAAACATTGTTTGTGCTGGGGTTGAGGGAACCAAATATGCAAGGAGCTCTTCGTCAGACTCAAATATGGCCATTTCTTGTTCATCAAGGGTCACCCAAGCTTCAATTCCATCACAAAACTTTGTATCCAACAACGCAATTACGTTCTTATAGCCACCTTTGCCGGTGACCCACGTAGGTTTTCCCCATCCAAAGTCCATTTCATACAGAGGGAGCTTGCACAGACTTGTGGCCCAATAAAGATTGATGCCCTTAGTGCTCTTCAAAAGTTGGCCCCTCTCTCTAATGCATTCAAACACTGCCAAGAATCCCTCCACACCTTTAAATCTGTTTGCCTTCTCATTGACAAAGTCCGTCAAACCTTTCCTCATCGTGCTCACCAACTCGTGTAATTGGGTCTCATCCTCTTTGAACAAGATTGGAAGTGGCCAAAACCAATTCCCCATGGCATTTTGTGGCAGCTCCGGGAGCATTCTCCGTCGCAAGTTTACCATTTGGAACAGAACTGTTGGCCTGATTGGAGTCCCAGGCTTGGAGTTATGAGAAGCAGCAATAGCACATTTTAAGATGATTGCCAAAACTAATTGTACGTTTGTGGGGATGAAGTTTTGGACAACACCCTCAATTTTGGCCTTGAGACTTGCCATCTTTGAGACATCAAACACAAATTGCCTAGTAGTTAAATTTTCACCAGGCGTTTCCAAGGTCTTTGGGGTGGCCGGTAAGTCTCTAGACGGCAACAAATTTCCTCCATTAAACTCCGGCAACACTAATTGCCCTCCAACTCCATCATCATATTGATCTTCATCACGATTTATGGCGGCCCATGTTCGTGCGAATGTGTAGAGCGATGTTAGATCTGCAATTTTGTGCGAAGGAGATACTGCAATAGCAATTCCTCCGCATTTAAAAACACTGATTTGAACAAGCAAAAGAACAGACCCCAAGGCTACTTGAGCTGTTTCAGAATCGGTCTCGGGGATCAAGTGATCGATTAACTTGGGCTCTGGTTGTTGAAGAAAATCTGCAAGCTGGCAGTTAACCCTAGCTTCCAAGAAATGAGCCCCTTCATCGTTGCACTCGATGAACGCAGCACCTTTTAGCCGGCCAGCCAATGGATAGAAGAGAACCAAAGTTTTGGATAGAGACTCTTGCAAGCGCTTAGAAGCATTGGAAACAAAATCGGCACCATGCCAATGGTTGGTGTACAAAAACACGAGGGTTCCATATAACGTAGGAGGAAACATTTGATCCAAAAGAGAGAGCTTGAGAGCTTTAAGGTGATAAGGAGTCGGAGATAATGGCTTAATGATCTTTCTTGAGGTGATTTCGACAAGAGAACGGATAGAACTACCCATTTCTAATTGAATTAGAAAGACTCCCTCAAACTTTGGATTGGAACCAAGATTATATGTGTGTGTGTGTATATATACATATATCAATAATTTTAGCCCAAGGTTTGAAGTCTTATGCTTCCTTGTTGGTCCCCCTTGTAGTGCTTTTCTCTAGAACGCAAGACTGGACACGCAATAGAGTTGACCCAAGTTAAATAATTACTTTGGTCCAGACTTACATGATTCACAATATGTATATGATGCTTTAGGATTCTGAGCCTCGACATTTAGAGTTTATCTATTTATCCGTATTTTGTAAAATCTTCACCATCCTAAATAGATATTTAAAATCAAATAACTTTTTAAAAAAAATTTAATAAAAAATCAAATAACTTCAAATATTTAAAAATAATATTAAAAAGTCACATAATCTAAAAATTAGAAAACTAGAAATGCAACTTCCCCTCCCCACCCTTACCCTAGCCGCCACCACCAACACCATCCCCCATCTTTCTCCCCCAGCCCACCCCAACACCACCAATTAAGCCGCTATACCATTCACCATCTCTCTCTCTCTCTCTCTCTCTCTCTCTCTCTCTCTCCCCCCCCCCCCTTTAATAATCTTTCTCTATATTCTTCACAGCCCCGCCTTAATTACCCCTAACCTTTCGTGAAGAAACCTATAGCCTCCCTCCCACCCACCTCATGGAAAGGGAGTGGATTTTTCTTTTACGTCTTTTTTATTTAAACAAATAATTTTTAAATTTAAATAAATTTTCTGATGAAAAGGAAAATTAAATTCTTATATTGTTGACATGTCATGTCTTTTAAACAGTTAGATTATTAAGATGGTCAAGATTTTGCGAAATGTGAAAAAATGCGTAAACTCTAAATGTAGGGGCTCGGGATTCATGCTTCAATACTAACTACTGATGATGATTGAAAATGGAGGCTTCCATCCGTATCTCCCTCACATATATGATAACTAAGTTATTATCAGTTTATAATCCAGACACAAAATACAAACTGTGCGAGTTCTTAATTAGTTCACTGAACCGTCTCTCAAGAAAATTAGGAAAATGGTGTTACCTCCTAAAATTAAGAATTTTTGTTGACTTTTTCGTTCAAAATAAAGTAAATACTTTTTTTTTTTTTTTGAGGGTATAGATAATAATATTGTCTACTTTTGTAATAATTACAATGTCCACTTTTGCCAGGCAAAATCTGGAATGCTTTGCGAAGCTTTCTGGATATTTCTATTCCATTATGAAGATTTATGATTAAATTAATGAGTTCTTATGTTGAAAACAAATACGCCAGCAAATAGTTATAAAAAAAATAAATTCCTATAGATAAAACCAACAAATGCTCCCAATCATGCAAAATCCAATGCACAATATTCCTTTTTGAATTTTAAATAAGCAATAATATTTTATTGATAAAACATAATAAAGTACAAAGTAGCCATAGTGCTAAATATGAGGAAACTAAATAGCAGAAAGGTAACTTAAGCCTGTTTGGTATTCAACTTGAATCCAACTTTTTAAACTCAAAAACAAAATTTGAGTCCAAAACAAAGAAACTCAAGAACAACTAAAAAACACCCCAATTATATAAAACAAAAAATATATGTTTTTTCAGTTTTTTCTTAACAACCCATAAGTTCTCAAATTTTTAATATTTGAAAACAGTTTTCAAGTTGCATACAAACAAGTTTTTGAATCTTAAAAATAGATTTAAGAACTCATTTTTTTAAGAAAAATCAAAGTTTTTGAGTTCCCTATTTGAATAAGATAGTTTCACCATTGAAACTGAACCTTGTCTAAGGGAGCAATTGTTTCAAACCACTACGGCACTTTGCAAGCATAGAGATTTTTGTTGTGTAGAAGCATTAGACTTTGCTTAACCTCTTCCTCACCATTTTTTCTCTTATAATATTCGTTTTCTTGCTACGTAATGTAATGCAAGATATGACATCTTACGCTTCCTTGAATTTGTCAGCCTTTTTGTGTTTCTTTGTTTTTGTTCTTTTTGTCTTTTATTGAACCCTAAACAATCATCTTGACGGTCCGATTTGTTAGATTTTCAGGTCAAGCGCTCCACAAAGTTGACCAAAGCTTTTTTCTTCTAATAAACAAAGTAGGACCCAAGATTTGTACGTGATGCTTCAGTACCAACTGATAATTTATTAATGGACCATATTTTTTATAAGAATTGGGCAGCTCTTTGACCCATTCTTCAAATTAGCTACCCTTCTGCACACCCACCCATCTACTGGTTTACAATTTCTTTGTACTAATTTGATGAATATGCTAATTGGTGTCACCAAACAAACAAAAATATAAGCAAGGATATGGAATAGGTGACGAATCTGGCACACGGTGACACGGTAAAGATAATAAAGCAAAGAAAAACAAAAGAAGTTGCAGCACAGGAAGTTTCCAGCCCTCTAATGCAAGTATTTCTTTGCCTGTGCCTTCTAACATTAGAGATAATGCAAATGTTCTGTGAGATATCCAACTCCAAATTGAAAATGTCAAGTGTTGGATTATTATAGCAACCTCATATCATTCTCTAATTTGGACGCAAAATCCCACAATAACCAAAAACAGTTCTGCATCTTCCTATCTGATCAAAACAGATTTTAAACTTACAAAACTTGAAAAACACCAGCCACAATGCAAACTAGGGCATCATTTGAAGTGCTCTCTTTCCCCTCCCTATTGTGTTAATCAGAACCATCCAGCACCGCCGTGCTGGTTCTGGTTCTGGTTCAGGGAAGGGTCAATGCTAGGATCTTGCTTCAAAGGAATTTCTGCAGTTGTTCCTTATAAACCGAGTCTTGCAAGAAAATAGGAGTTCATATTGAGCACCAAATATACGTTGGCGCTTTAGCCAAAAAAACTTCTTCTGCAATTCATGTGGTTGTGTCTTTATGACCAGATATTGTTTCTTGATTTCCATTTCAAACTGCTCTCTGGACTTTTTATCAATATGAGGTGATCGCAACACAGTATATAATCAAACTGTTTCTTGATTTCCATTTCAAACAGCTTCAACATGAGCCGCAGAGAAAACATTGTCCAAAGCCATGGCGCAACCCACCACAAAGTCACCTGCGGAATTGCGAACCACGACGCCTACTCCGCCCACTGTAAGTCCAGGTTGCCAAGCCCCATCAACATTGATTTTCATACCTCCCATGCTCGGCTATATTATCAACATTGATAATATATGCTCTTTATTATCAAAAGATTTTGGCCAATTGCTTTTCCACCATACATAGAAGTGAAAAAATTTGCTTCTTAGTTTGTTTGTACTAGGGACATCAATACTCAAATGAATCCAATATAAATAAAAAAGCAATCCGGACTCAATACACTCCCTCTAATATTTTATATATATGACACTTGATTACAAACTAGCTATTAGTCTGGTAGTATGTTTCTTTGTGCATGACATACAACTTATTTATTTATTTATAATCCACGGGAAGAGATAATTCACACCTTTTTCACATATTAGATTTCAACTTTATTGAAGACTTGATATCAAACATTGTTTGTGCTGGGGTTGAGGGAACCAAATATGCAAGGAGCTCTTCGTCAGACTCAAATATGGCCATTTCTTGTTCATCAAGGGTCACCCAAGCTTCAATTCCATCACCAAACTTTGTATCCAACAACACAATTACGTTCTTATAGCCGCCTTTGCTGGTGACCCACGTAGGTTTTCCCCATCCAAAGTCCATTTCATACAGAGGGAGCTTGCACAGACTTGTGGCCCTATAAAGATTGATGCCCTTCTTGCTCTTTAAAAGTTGGTCCCTCTCTCTAATGCATTCAAACACTGCCAAGAATCCCTCTACACCTTTAAATCTGTTTGCCTTCTCATTGACAAAGTCTGTCAAACCTTTCCTCATCGTGCTCACCAACTCGTGTAATTGGGTCTCATCCTCATTGAACAAGACTGGAAGTGGCCAAAACCAATTCCCCATGGCATTTTGTGTCAGCTCCGGGAGCATTCTCCGTCGCAAGTTTACCATTTGGAACAGAACTGTTGGCGTGATTCTCCCAGGCTTGGTGTTATGAGAAGCAGCAATAGCACATTTTAAGATGATTGCCAAAACTAGTTGTACGTTTGTGGGGATGAAATTTTGGACAACACCCTCAATTTTGGCCTTGAGACTTGCCATCTTTGAGACATCAAACACAAATCTCCTAGCAGTTAAATTTTCACTAGGCGTTTCCAAGGTGTTTGGGATGGCCGGTAAGTCTCTAGACGGCAACAAATTTCCTCCATTAAACTCCGGCAACGCTAATCGCCCTCCAACTCCATCATCATATTGATCTTCATCACGATTTATGGCGGCCCATGTTTGCGCGAACGTGTAGAGCGATTTTACATCTGCAATTTTGTGCGAAGGAGATACTGCAATAGCAATTCCTCCGCAGTTAAAAACATTGATTTGAACAAGCAAAAGAACAGACCCCATGGCTACTTGAGCTGTTTCAGAATCAGTCTCGGGGATCAAGTGATTGAGTAACTTGGGCTCCGGTTGTTGAAGAAAATCTGCAAGCTGGCAGTTAACCCTAGCTTCCAAGAAATGAGCTCCTTCATCGTTGCACTCGATGAACGCAGGACCTTTGAGCCGGCCAGCCAATGGATAGAAGAGAACCAAAGTTTTGGATAGAGACTCTTGCAAGCGCTTAGAAGCTTTGGAAGCAAAATTGGCACAACGCCAATGGTTGGTGTAGAAAAACAAGAGGGTTCCATATAACGTAGGAGGAAACATTTGATCCAAAAGAGAGAGCTTGAGAGTTTTAAGGTGATAAGGGGTTGGAGATGATGGCTTAATGATCTTTCTTGAGGTGATTTCGACAAGAGAATGGATAGAACTACCCATTTCTAATTGAATTAGAAAGACTCTCCCTCAAACTTTGGATTGGAACCAAGATTATATATACATAGAGCCCTCAAATAATTATTTGAGGGACACACTTTAGGGTTCCCTACGAAATTTTTTTTCAACGATCCAAACCATCCATTTTTTAAGTCTATATTAATAGATCATCTTTGCAAAAAATTGGACAAATCGGAAACCGTTTTCATATCCAATTGTGTCCTATAATATTGTAGGGGGTTTTTTTGTTCCTGCAGCCTGACGAATGGGCTTGGGTTGCTGTAAGAAGACGACGAACAAAATCCCCCAAATGCCTGAGTTCGAAACCAAGCTCCCAAAAGAGTTTTTAGAAAATCTGATGAGATTTTAAAAGAACGCTCTTATGATCATTTTACTAACACCCAAATAAGCATGATAAATTCACTAATGGCTTAGCCTGAGGAGCCTGTGGCATGGGAGCTAAGCTTTCACAAGTTTAGCAATTTGAGAGAGAGAGAGAGAGAGGCATGAGTTCCTTATAGGAAAAAGGAGCCCGAAGTGAACAGGGGAATATTAGCTCGACTTCTATACTAAGGGGGAGAAGAAGAACGAACGAAAGAGGGGATTGGGTGCCTTGAGCGAATTCTCAGATGCTTAACAAAGCTTGGTCAGGCTATGCATGGTTGGTTTTTCTGGGTACGTAGTAGAAGCCTTCTTTTATAGGCGTTAAGAGCCCTAATTTTGTCTGGTCTTCCTCTTCCTTTTCCCTTAGCAGCTCCCTACTTAGTCTTATTTTGGTGCAATTCTCTTATCAAGGTATATGGGAAAGGAACCATTGTGGTTCCAACGATTTTGACGCAGCTGGACCTTCCCACAAGGGTGAAGCGCCACTTTGCAACGTTTTCAAAACAGAGCTTGTAATGGGGAAAGAGATGGGTGGAGCCTTTTGTCCGATGGGTATTTGCCCTTTACCCATGAATTTTTGCTGGTTCTTGCCTTGGCCCTTTGCCTGACTTGTTTGGAGTCTCATCAGAGGTGGAACACGATGACAGCTTTTCTACAAGCTGCTGGACTGGGCTTGTGCGTAACGTTGGGTTGCTGGCCTATTATTTCTAGTGGATTTTCGTCAAACTGCTGGAAAGGGCTTTTGCTAATTTCTTTGGGGCACTATATTGATGTGGGTTGGGCTAAGTATTTTGGTAGGTTACTTGGTGTCTTCCTAAAGCATGGGGCAATTTTCTCTTCTCTCTCATGCTAACCCATGTGCTTGGGTTTTAGGAACGGGCTTGAGTTTTAAAGCCCCCAAGTGGCTTAAAAACTTGCGTCCCTTGAACCCTCAATGGACCCTGTGATTGCTCGTTTCCTTCCGTACCATAACCTTCTCAGTAAGCCTCGGTTGATCTTGTGGCTTGGGCCCACTTATGCTCGTGGCACGACTTGGTATTAGAATAATGCCCTTTCTTGTATGAGGCCTATGCTTATGCTTGGATTTTATTATGCCACGATGGGCTATAATTGGGCCAAGTAACATCGAAGGGATATGTAAGCGTGATTTTGCGATATTGGGCATGCTTTTGGCCCCTTTGCACGTGCTTGCTTGGCATGATACGTGGCTTATAGCTTGCATTGGCGGGTCCCATAAATTCTCTTTTGTCCCGATTGAGCTTATTTACATTTAATCGCCTATGTTGGGCCAAGGATTAATTTGGGTTTAGCTCCTTGGATTTTTGGGCCTCAACAAATATCAATGAACACAGTGCTTCAAGAAAGTACTAAAATTTCAATAATTCAATTGAGTGGACAAATGATATCGGATTCAAGTCATTTTTGTAGAGATGATCTTTGAATGAGTATCTACAAAATAGATGGTTTGGATTAGTGGAATGCAACACGGATTGGACCCTACAAGAGTGTGTGTGGGAGCAAATATTTCTGTCTCCAATCAGGGCACACCACGTGGAAAAGAAGATTATCTCTTAAATTAATTAATTAAACCAGTTTATCGGCCAATTAATTAATTAGGATAAATATCTTAATTAATGTGATATTATCTTTATTTAATGAGATAATACCATTAATTTAGATATTATCATAATAAAGAGAAGATAATATCATTAATTTAGATATTATCTTCATAAAAAGAGATAATATCGTTTAATTTAGATATTATCTTCAATAAAGAGAAGATAATATCATTAAATCAGATATTATCTAAGTCCGACTCGATCCCGACGAATTTGGGTTGAGAATAAACTCAGCATATTCTCTACGAAACCCTAGCCCCGAGGCTCCTATAAATAGACGACTTCATTTATCATTCAAGGTACTTCGAAAAACCCACATCTAAACCTTCTCCAGAACCCGAGAAAAATATCCGAAGCTCTCTCTCCCTCTCCACTCTCCACTCTCTATATTTTCTCCACACGGCTCCGGCCACCACACACGACTCCGGCCGCCCGGTTCATACCATACATAAACTCCATACCCTTTGCTTAGCTATTGTTTTCCTACAAACACTCGAACTAACTTAGGCATCGGAGGGCCTTTGGCTAACACCCCCCGGGTGTGGTCTATTTACTCCAATCTTTTTTACAGGAATCGAGGAAGAGAGAGAAGGAAGATCGAATGTTGAAGGATCTAGAAGCGAATATTCTCCTGTGAGATTATTTGCACAAACATTTGGTGCTTTCATTGAGAGCACGAGTTATACTCAACGCGTGCTCAAGGAATCCGTTCCTCCTATTTTCCAATCCATCGAAGCCTTCCAAACAACAATGGTTGGAAGCAAACGCACTAGGAGCAAAACCGCCACGATGGCTCAATCCGTGACGGCCCGAAGCCACTCCACCCACGATCCCACGATCGACATGGTGGCACCACCACCTCTCGCCACCGTGCCACCTACCGGACCCGCGGCCGGATCTAGAAACCTCCGTGGCACCGCCGCTGAACATGGTGGAACCTCCCATCAAGGTGGGCTCGTTACCACCACTGACTTAGGCCCGGTCTTGGAGCAACTTCAAGCGTTCCCTTCATTGCCTCCACGCTCGACGCACGCTCTCGGGTACACCTCCAATGAAACCCTAGCACGTGTGCAATTGGGCTCCACACGCTTCTCTCCTCCCAATCCACAAAGTCAAGCAGATTTCAACCTGAGAGTTGACCAGCTAGCTCAGATAATGGACGACCAAAACGCTCTTATGAGGCAGCTCCTCAACCAAATAAGCGTGGCTCAAAATCTTGGCCTTCAACAACCAGCTAGCTCAAATAATGGACGTCCGTGCTCGCCTGGGCTCGCAGGGAAATGTACTTCAAAGGCTCGGCTCCCAGGGAGGTCAAACTGGCAATCGCCGCAATGAGGATCGTGAAGAGAGGCGCTCCGCTGCCCACTCGCAGAGAAATATTCACGAAAGGCTAAGCTCCCAGGGAGGCCAACCCGGTAACCCTCGCAATGAGGATCGTGAAGAAAGGCACTCCACTGCTCGCTCTTGGAGAACCAATTCTCGTCGTCAAGCTGCAGAAAATCCCTCGCAAACGCAGTCCACCAACACGCCTCCTAGGCAGCGTGGATGAGAGGACCGACCCACGCGGACCAACGAGGAGGTCAATTAGCGTCGCCCGAATCGCAAAAGTCACCAACGTGATCGACCAGCAATGTGCGCGGAAGACGTTGAGAAGCTTGTGAATGACCGACTTCGAGACTTGAAGACTGGCGGGAACCTCGAGGATGCACTATGTAAGGAGATGGACCAGGTGATCTCTACTCCTTTCACCCCTGAAATCGAGCAGGCTGCTCCCCCGAAGCGATTCTCAACGCCTTTGTTTACGCATTTCAAGGGAGATTCCGATCCCGAGAGCCACCTAAAACACTTCAAAAGTGTCATGATCCTCCACAAGGCCGACGATGCACTAATGTGCAAGGCGTTTGCAATGACCTTGCGAGGAGCAGCTTAGGACTGGTTCCACACCCTACCATCCGGGTCGATCAACAGTTTCAAGGAGCTTGCCTATGTCTTCATTAAAGAATCCACTTTTTATCAGACGATCAAGAAGAACCCAGATCATTTGTTCAACTTGTGCAAGAAACCCGACAAATCCATTCGAGATTACATCAAGAGGTTCAAAGAAGAAAAGGCCAACATCGTAGGGTGCAACGACCAAATCGCATCATCTGCCTTCAAGAAAGGTCTTCCAGCAGAACACGAGTTATACTGCGAGCTGACTATCACTCCCAGCCAGACTTTAGCAAAGGTCTTCGCGACCACAGAACGCTACGCGCTCTGGGATGACGATCCAATTACCGCGAAGAAGTCCATTGAGCAGGGAGATCGGCCGACCAAGCGGGCGGGCCAAAGAAGCGATGGATTTAGCAACAAGAATAAGGACAAGCGCAGGTCACACCCACAAGGGGACGCTAAGGCAGGAGAGAACTACACCAAGTTCACCATCCTTATACATCAAATCCTAGGCCAAGTGAAAAACAAACCTTGGGTAAGAAGACCGCCACCATTGAAAGGAGATCCAGACATGAGGGATACTACACTACTACGTTTCACCATTTGCGCGATGAAAGATTGCGCGATGAAGAACAATTCGTCGCTCAAAACATACTGGCGCGACGAAAGAAAATATTCGTCGCGCAATCCACTGAAAATTTGCATGACCAAATTTTTCGTCGCACGAAATGTCTTTGCGCGACCAAAAAAATCGTCGTCGCGCAAACAGAGTTAAAAAAAGCGGGGGGAATTTTTTTGGCGCGAAACATTTGCGCGACGAGACATATCGTCGCTTAAGACAATCTTGCGCGACGGTACATTAATTTGTCGCGCAAAAAGGACAGAACCCAGTGGGTCCCCTTATTTGGCGGTAAAAAACTGGTGCGACGAAATTCTTCGTCACACAAGACAGCTTAGCGCGACGGGAAGATTGTTCGTCGCGTAAGAGAACGAGGAATATTTTATTTTTGGCTCCAAAATTACCTGGTTGGGATATTTTTGTTTGCGCGACGTACGTACTGTTCGTCGCGTAAAGTTCCAAGTTTGCGCGACGAATATATTGTTTTGCGCGACGGAATTTTGTTTTTGCGCGACAATATTCTGCGACGAAAGGTTGCGTGACGGAAAATACCAGCGTCGCGCAAAAGTTAGATGTCGGCAGGTGATTGCGCGACGAAAAAAAGGGTTTGCACGACGGACTATTTGGTTTTTTGTGACGGAAGTTTGCGCGACGAACTTATATATTCGTCGCGCAAAGTCCTTCTTCTTCATATTAGAATTCTGCCATTGCAGAGGCAGAATGCAAAAACAAAGCATTCTGCCTCTGCCTCTCTCTCAACCTCTCTGCCGCTGCTGGGACTTCAATACAGGATTAGGTTTCGATTGTGGATATTTCGATGTCATCTCGGTACGTTCTTCGGGTGGTACGTAGGTATTTATACCTATGGCCACCTCAAGAACTGTAGCGAGATGCTGGCGAAATTCATCCACGTCGAAATCTAATCTCATGTAGTCGTAGGTTACGTGGCAGGAGTATGCATTCTCGAATGGGATAGGACCCTTACCGGAGGCATAAGGTGACATTATAACTTCGTATGAAGTTGTTGTGATTGTTGTGTTGTGATTCTGGTTTCAGGAATTATGGATAGAAGGTGAATACAGAACCCGAACAGATGCGCAGACGAATACTTGGATGGAATCGAGGATTTTATTGAGTTTGCACGTAGACACAACCCGGGTGCAACTAGAATCTGTTGTCCTTGTAGGAGGTGCAACAACACGTTATGGGAGGCAATTGAAAATGTTGGATTTCATTTAGTAAGGAATGGAATGATTGAGACATATAGCATTTGGAACCTTCACGGGGAACAATTAGAGCATGCTTCGTCTTCAAATGCCACAAGAGTGGACAATGTTCAACCTATTGTGGATGCTAATGATCAAGTCATGGATATTATACAGGATGTTTTTCCATTTGCATCGACCAACATGAATCAAGAAGAGCAAGATGATGTGCCTACACCAATAGACAGTGCGGAGTTTGAACAATATGAAAAATTGTTAAAAAATGCCAACCAAGAGTTATACCCGGGGTGCGAGAGCTTTTCCGTTCTCACGGCCATTGTGGAGCTAATGCACGGAAAAATAAAGTATCGTATGTCGAACCTGTGTTTCGATTACTTTTTGGGGGTTTTCAAGAGAATGCTTCCGACGGACAATTGTTTGCCGAAAGACCATAAACAGGCGCAGAAGGTGTTGAATGGTCTTGGATTGGGTTATGAAAAAATCCATGCTTGCAAAAACAATTGCATGTTATTCTACAAAGAGCATGAATCGTTGGATACATGTCCTATATGCAATGAGTCGAGGTTCAAGATGACATCTCAGAATAGGACGACTAAGATCCCACAAAAAGTCATGCGTTATTTGCCCCTGAAACCTAGGTTGCAGCGATTGTATATGTCGACGCATACTGCCACAGACATGAGATGGCATCAGGAAAAACGGGTAGACGATGATGTGATGCGGCATCCTGCAGATGGGGAGGCATGGAAAGAGTTCGATCGAACGTTCCCAGAGTTTGCTGCTGATCCCCGAAATGTTAGATTGGGACTTGCCACTGACGGATTCAATCCGTATGGGGTTCTAAACCAACACCACAGCACTTGGCCGATTTTCGTATTCCCATATAATTTGCCGCCTTGGAAATGCATGAAAAAAGAATACATGATGATGACTGTTTTGATAACTGAGGATCCTGGGAGGTCAATCGATGTTTACTTAAGGCCGCTGGTTGATGAGCTGAAAGGATTTGTGGACAAACGGTGTTCGCACGTACGATAAATCAACTGGGAAGATGTTCACTTTGCGGGCAGCAGTTATGTGGACTGTGAATGATTTCCCAGCATATGCAATGGTTTCTGGGTGGAGCACAAAAGGTTATATGGCATGTCCTGTATGCAAGGAAGATGTAACTTCTGGTTGGCATGCTGGAAAAGTTTGTTACCTTGGTCATCGGAGATGGTTGCCATGGGACCATGAGTGGAGGGAAAAAGATAAAGAGTTCGACGGGAACACTGAGCGTCGCCTTAGACCCAGAGAATGGTCCGGTGATGAGATATTGGACCAGCTGAACCGGTTGGATTTTGCTCCCTTCGGGAAAACAGTTAGTCGTATCAGACCTTCTACACATATGAACTGGACGCACAAACCTATGTTTTTTGAGCTCCCATATTGGTCGAAACTAAAATTGAGGCACAATCTAGATGTGATGCATGTTGAGAAAAATGTATTCGACACATTGGTGGGCACGATTCTAGATATCGAGGGGAAGACAAAGGACACGATCAAAGCTCGTCTTGATTTGGAAAGAATGGGCATACGAAGGGGTTTATGGATGAATAGGGACAATGATAAAGCTAGAAGGGATCTTGCATTCTTTTCTATGAAACCGAATGACAAGAAAGAGTTTCTAAAGTTTGTATCGTCAGTAAAGTTTCCCGATGGGTATGCTTCTAATATCGCACGTTGTGTGAATGTTGACGGGGGTAAATTTACTGGACTTAAAAGCCATGACTGTCATGTGTTTATGCAACGCCTACTTCCTGTTGGTATTCGACACCTATTGCCGGAAGATGTAGTGAAGCCAATCATTTTGTTGTCCAGATTTTTTTCCCAACTGACGGCGAAAACTTTGCGAAAAACGGACATGTTTCAGTTGCGCCATGACATTGTCCAAGTCCTATGCAAGTTTGAGATGATATTTCCTCCAGCTTTCTTCACAAGTATGATGCACGTGATGGTTCACTTGCCAGAAGAGGCATTACTTGCTGGTCCTGTCAACTATCGCTGGATGTATCCAATAGAAAGGTATATAATCCTTATCATTTGTGTATGCATCATTATCACATGCTTGCTAATTTCAATCATATCGTTTTATTTTGGCAGGCTTCTCGGAGAGCTGAAAAAAAGTGTACGCAACAGGGCGAAGCCCGAAGGATCAATCGTAGAGGCTTGGGTTCAATATGAGTCGCTTACTTTCTGCGGAATGTATTTAAAAGATGTGGAGACGGTTTTCAATCGTCCTCAGCGCAATCATGATGGAGGTATGAGAAATGAAAAACTTTCTGTTTTTGCCCAAAGCGCACGACCCTTCGGAGATCCTGGACGCGGAGAGTCGTTTTCTAGAAATGACATGGAGGTAGCGCATTGGTTCGTACTGAACAATTGTGATGAGATCATGGGATACTTATATGAGCATGAAGAGATGATGAAGCGAGAACATCCATCACATTTGGTTGCCCAGAAACACCGTAAATTGTTTCCACAATGGTTTTTGGATTCTGTAAGTTATCAGTGTTTGTTATTTGAGAAATATAAATTTTTTTAATAATTTTGTCCGACTAACATATGAATGGTTTTGTATAATATTAGGTGAATAAGTTGAAATCATCGAATTCCCCAACTTACAGTGATGAGTTATATAACTTGGCGTTTGGCCCGATTCGCGCTGAATTGTTCTCGGGTTGTAATGTCAACGGTGTCAAATTTTTGGCCGAAGCACGAGATGACAAGTTGTGTACGCAAAACAGCGGTGTCCATGTCCCAGGTGGAGGCGAAAGTACGGACATTGATTTCTATGGCAAACTCACAACTGTCGTGCAATTGCTTTACAAAGATCGATACCAAGTGATCATGTTTAAGTGTCGATGGTTTGACACCAACCCAAATAGGCCGGGAAGTGTTAAAATCGATCATGGCTTACTATCTGTGAACATGAACAGAACTTGGTATGATGACGACCCTTATATTTTGGCAAACATGGCAACACAAATTGTGTATCTAGATGACCCTAAAGCCGGAAGCGGTTGGAACGTTGTTCAAAAGATGGATCACAGGAACGTGTATGCTATACCAGAACTAGACCCAACTGACAACAACGTCAACAATGTAGCTGACCAACGTTTAGAATCTTCAATGGAAAATGATGCGGAAACACTTCGAGATACTAATGTTATACAAGAGCCATTTCAAATACAAGGAGTGTCTTCAATCGAAATACCGATTCAGTCAATTACAATTGACCTCGGTGATCTTCCGCGATATGATGTTGCAGTTGGCCCGAGCAACGACGATGATGTAGTTATAGAGGAGGCGGAGGAGGAGGAGGAGGAAGAGGATTGGGAGACCGAAAGTGATGATAGCAACGATAACGAAAGTTATTATAGTTCAGATGATGAATGATTAATTTTTATTGTAATTTTATTATGTTATTAGACATATTTTGTGTAATGCAAATGTTTTCATATATGTACTTGTTATATCCAAACAATATATATGATACCAAGTGAAACATTATTATTACAATAATTGTAGTTATAAACCATTGGTAAATAAATATAGCCAACTAATTTGTATCATAAAGTTTAAATTTATTTTCACAAAAAATTTTAAAAAAAATGAAAACCATATAACCGAAAAAATGAATACAAAGAACATAAGATTAACAACAATCCTTCCATTCTCAAATCGAAAGAAAATATAATAAATCTTACTTTCATACAAGTAATTATATGTAATGATGAATACTTCAGATTAATAATATGTGGTTTGCGCGACGAAGACATAATTGTCGCGCAATTTTTGCGCGACGGATAATGTACACGTCGCGCATACTCTACCATTTGCGCGACAAATAATTTCGTCGCGCAAGTCTCTTTAGCGCGACGAAAAAGA